ACAATTCAATTACAATAAAAATTCAATGATGTAACCATTTTTAAGGTTTTCTAGAGCAAAGCATGTCAAACTCAAAGGCTAACTCGGGCCGAATAAACAAGGTTTAAATTTATGTGGGCCACAACAGAACAAAAGCTTCAATTTTCATAGAAATGTAGGTTTATTTTGATAAAGACAAGCTGAATACAATAAATGAGTAATTGTTAATATAAGAGAATATTTTAATAAAATGTCTTTTCTTGAACATTAACTTACCAGACCATGAATAACTGTACAAATTAATAAACGTAACACAAATGAACCTATTTTTCTTGTTCTCCAAAAACAAAATATTACCCGTTTCACACACCAAACAAGTCAGTCTGAGACTATTTGATGAGGCAATCGGCTGCTAAAATATTCACTGCTAGTATTAGTGGAGAGAAATGGTGCACCTGAGCTTAAGGGAAATGAATACACCAAGATTTAAGTAATCAGTCAGAGAACATTGTAGTTCATAATTTTTAAAAAATATTTTTATTTATTTCAGAGAAGTAGGGAGTGGGGAAGAGAGAGATAGAAGCATCAATGAAGAGAAAGAATCATTAATCGGCTGCCTCCTGCATGTCCCCCACTGGGGATCAAGCCCACTATCCAGGCATGTGCCCTTGACTGGACCTTTTAGTCTGCAGGCCGATGCTGTATTCACTGAGCCAAACCAGCCAGGGCTGTAGTTTGTTATTAATAACTGGAAGCCCAGTGCACAAAATTGGTGAATGGGCATGTGCCCTTGTGAACCAGCAGGGCCTCTAGACCTGGTGGGCGATCAGGGCTAGCCAGGGCCTTCCTTTCCCTGGTTGCCAGCTGCTAACCAGGGCCTTCTTTCATTTCATACCACCCTCTGGTGGTCAGTGCATGTCATGGTGAGTGGTTTAACTGGTCAGTAAAATTCCCCAGGGGACAATTTACATATTAGCCTTTTATAAGACTAGAAGCCTGGTGCACGAAATTCTTGCACAAGGTTGGGGGCGTCCCTCTGCCCGGCCTGCACCTTCTCTAATCCCAGACCCCTTGGGGGATGTCTGACTGCCCTGGCAACCCAGAACCACTGGCTCCTAACCTGTCTGGCTGATCACGCCTGTTTCCCTACTGGCCTGATTGCCCCAACTGCCTCTGGCTCAGCCCATACCTGGGACCCAGGATTCCCTCCTCCGGCTGGTCACAGGCACCCAAGACCCAGGCCAGCATCACCTGGGCCAGCCGCAGCTGCAAGCACCTGGAACTGTAGACCAGGCGGCTTGTCTCTCCCAGGCCATAGCCTGGCTGGTCCCCATTCCATTCTGGCAAGCACATTTGTGCCTGGCAGGTCCCCATTTTTCTCTCGCAAGCTCATTTATGCCTGGCAAGTATCCATTCCTCTGTCCTGAGCTCATTTGTGCCTGGCTGGTCTCCATTCCTCTCTCCCCACTGTTGAGTATCTGAACAGTTCTGGCACCAGGGCATGAGGGCATGATGACCATTTGCATATTATCTCTTTATTATATAGAATTATATATAACAGGATAATGTAAAAATTAAGTTACAAAAGTTTTATTAGAACGTGTCTTACATACCATTATATTGGTTGGGCCACAAAAATATTCATTGTGGACCACATGCAGCCAGAGCAGGCTGCAAGTTTCACGTGCTTGCTCTAGAGACATGCCATACAAACAGGGATCTAAAAATAAAAAATGTGCCCAGTAGGTGTGGTCCAGGTTGGATTGTTGACCCACGAACCAGGAGATCCTGTTAGATTCTCAGTCAGGGACAAGCCTTTTTTGGGCTAGATTCCCAGTAGGGGGCATGCAGGAGGCAGCCAATCCATGATTCTCTCTCACCATTGATGTTTCTGTCTCTCCCTCTCTTTCACCTATGAAATCAATAAAAATATGTTTAAAACACTAAAAACAAAAAATGTGCCAGAAATTTTAAATACAGTCATTTCACATTTGGAGTCTCACTGGATAAAAGGGAAAAGAAAACTGTTTGCTTTCACAAATGTCCATGCTTTTTTCTAATATCTTTTTTTTTTTTAATGCCCACCTCAGTATATTTTTCCACTAATTTTTAGTGAGAGTGGAAAAGAGAGGGTAAGACAGAGATAAATATCAACGTGACAGAATTACATCAATTAGTTGCCTCCTGCTCCTGGCCAGACCAGAGAGGAGCCTACAACCAAGTATATCCCCTTGTTCAGAATCAAACCTGGGACATATCAAAGGCAGACACTCTATACACTGAGGAAAACAAGCTAGGGCTGTAACTCTCATTCATATAAATTACATATATATCGGAGAGGAAAGCAGAGAGAGACAGAAACATCCATGATGAGAGAACCATTGATCAGCTGCCTCCTGGATATCCGCTACTGGGAATCAAGCCTGCAACTAGGGCATGTGCCCTGACTGAATGGAACAGTGACCTCCTGCTCCTTAGGTTGATGCTCACCCACTGAGCTACTCTGCTGGGCTGTAATAATCTTTCTCTTATTTCTCTACCTGGCGCATTCAATCAATGGACATTTTCATTCTCAGGGAAACTAGAGTGAAAGGGATTCCCTGAGTGATGCATAAAGGCTCTGAAGGAAAGACACACATACATTGGATTCAGCTCAGATGAGCAGCCTCGTTCCCACAGGACAGAAGGAAAGCCACTTTCAGAAGGTTCCACGTCCTAGACTCTCCTGTCTGAGACAGAAAGAACCCCTGAGTGTCACAGTCCTTGGGGAAAGCAGAGGAGGGACACCTGAGCAGCCACCCCAGGAATGAAGTCTGGAGCTCCAGTTCCCTCCTCTCCCTGGGAAGAATGGAAAAGTGCTGGGCAGTTAGACAGACATGAGCAGGGCAAGGAGAACGGGCCAGGGCCAGAAGGTCATGCCTAGCAGCAGACCACTGTAGGCTGGGCCTCATCCCCGGGTGACCTTTCGTCCCGTAGCGTATCGCTGGCCATGCAGATTGGACCCCGGGCCTTTCCCCCTAGAAATAGCCTCCAGGCCACACTTCTATTTCAGCTGCAGGCCCAGCAAAGCCGAAAAATCAGAAAAGCGATGCAGGGCTGACCGTAGGACCAGCTGCACTGAATGATGTCCTGGGCCTTGGCCATTAGCCATCACTCAGTGGAGACCCAGTCGTGAAGGGACAATTCAGGAAAGCTGCTGAATATTCTGAGATTTCCCCCAGGACCTCCCTTAAAATCTCCACCCTTAAACCCCTAGGACAGAGAACGCAGCTGGCTCTCCTTCCTGGGAGCCTGTCCCCACCTCTCCTCATCCACCCATCCCCCCGGGCCTGTGACAGCTACTTTTCTCTCTTCTAAGAGCCTAGGACCCTTTCGTTATCTCTGTAACTTGTTTCCTAATTCCTTTTCTTCTAAGAATTACTTCTACCTCTGTGATTTCCCGAATCAATGTTCTCTTATAGTTTGAGTCTTGGCTCTGAATTCATTCCCAGCCAGAATTCAACCACCTCTGTTGCTGAACCCAGACCCGTGAAAATCAGCTAGGGCATCTCACGTATCTCACACAAGGTGCTGCTCCAACCCTGCCACCGCCAGCAGACGTGCTCTCTCTCAGGCTGCAGCTCACAGTGATGGGTGCTCAGCTGGATTCAGCGTAAGGTTCTAATCCAAATGAACTCCCAATCTCACAATCCCTACCCCAGGACACACCCTCCTGACTTTCCCAGGTTTTCTCAATGTGCACCCACTCCCTGGATGCAAAACTTCAACTGATGCCTAGGAACAGGCCTAGGGGGACCTCAACTAAAACCTCGGAGGGCATAACCCCCTCCCGCAGGTGCACCTGCACCCCAGCTCTCCAGGGCTGTAGCTTCTCTCCCTGTAAAGGCTCCCTCCATGGTGGGTGTGAGCAGGTAGGACACCTGCAGGGAGAGGCTCCCCAGGAAGGTCAGTGAACCTTCAGGTACTTCATTGGCAGGCTCAGGGTGTGGCTTCCTTAGCTTAAAGCACTTGGCTCAGAACTCTACTCCCCCCTGACATTGCTCTGAGCCACCACTGATGTTTCAAGTGACACAAAGCCAGTGCTGGAACAATAAAAAACTTGTTTAAACCCAATGTTCATGTGTAAAGAAGGTATTAAAATGGTAAGACACTTTGCTAGCTCAACAAGAAAATATACAAGTATCAATTACTGCATTTCAAAAAAAAATGCTAATTATTGGTCCCATGGCAAGAATTTATTTTAAAAACTATTATACTTTTGAACAAAAACTGTGCACCTATGGATGAGGACAATGGGGGGTGGGGAAAGGGCAGAAGGTGGGATGAGGTGGGAACCTGGTGGAGGAGAGCAATTAAGGGGGGGGGGGGAAGAGGAACACATTTGTAATAATCTGAATAAAGATTTATTTAAAAATAAAAAATAAAAACAATTATACTTCAAAACCTCCAGTCTAAACTCTAAAAATCCATTTGACACTCAAAATAATAGACCTTGAAATATTCCTACTCACACTGGGAGGAAAACAACCCAAACAAAAATATAATACATGCAATCTACCTAATAAAAGAGTAACATGCTAACTGACCGTACATCTGCGACACCCACCAGCCAATCAGGAGTATGCAAAATAACACAACAAAGATGACAGGTTAATTTGCATATGCAGGCATTCTGCACCACCCCGGCCACTATGGGCCTCTAGGTAATGGGGGAAGGCAGAAAGGCTGCTCTGGCTAGAGCGAAGGCAGTGCCTGAAGCCAGGGGAAGGAAAGCACATTCTTGTACAAATCTTTGAGCTTTGGGCCTCTAGTCTATAATATAAAAACCCTGCCCTGGCCGGTTTGGCTCAGTGGATGGAGCATCGGCCTGTGGATTCAAGGGTCCCAGGTTCGATTCCAGTCAAGGGCATGTACCTTGGATTCGGGCATATACCCAGTAGGGAGTGTGCAAGAGGCAGCTGATTTGACATTTCTTTCTCATCGGTGTTTCTCTCTATCCCTCTCCCTTCCTCTCTGTAAAAAATCAATAAAATATATTTTAAAATACAAAAACAAAAAACACTTAAGCAACCTGCTGATTGGCTGAGTGTACAGTAGCTATAATGTGCAATGACCACTAGGGGGTGAGGTTCAACACAGGCAGCTCCCGAGCTCCTGGAACCAGAGAGGAAAGAGCCAGATTCTGGATTGCGACAACCCTCACACAATTGGGGATCTCTTTGGGTATGTCAGAGAGCCAGATTTGGTCCAGTCTGCGCAGGCCAGGTAGAGGGACCCCATCTGTGCACAAATCTGTGCACCGGGCCTCTAGTGTAACAATATTTACTTCTCTGAGAGGCACTGGTGTCAGGAAGAGCCATTCTATGCTGCATCTTTAATGTTGAATTGTGAACAATTATAAAGCTTACACCCAAAGTCAAGGGAAGTGAAGGAGTGACTGGCAGTTTTGAGGATATTCTTGGCTGGTATGGCAAAGAGTGAGAAAAACAAACTAAAATATTCTGTTCTTAACGTGAACTGCCTGTACAGTTTCCAGTCAAAAGCAACACCAATACCAAACATGAAAATAATTCATAGGACTCTACAATGAACTGTGCGAAAGTACAAATATATGGCAAATACTTATTGACTAAAATAATAGTGAATTTCAAGTGCAATTGAAAAATTAAAAAAAGAATACATATGCTTGTAGGGCCTATTCATTCAATACCTGTCAGGGCACATTACTGGGTAGCTGGGTTGATCCTTTGTCAGGCACATGGGAAGACAACCCATCTATGTTTCTCTTACATGGATGTTTCTCTCTACTACTCTCTCAATTTCCTCACTTCCAAAAAACAATTTAAAAAAAAACTAACAAAGAATGAGTACTGATAATGAACAAATAAGTCAAAAGTTTATAGAACTTCTTTAATGGTGTGAGTTTTGGGAAGTATATGACTTCATTTGCAACAGGCTTACATGTACTAATTAGTTATATTAATAGGATTTTTTAAGGGAAATTTTCAAGCTACTTTGAAACTTTTTAAAATATTAAAGTTTATTTTCATTGTCAATTATACAGTGTACATCCTCACGTGATATTGTACAAATATGAGGCAACATGAAGGTTTTCTTACATTTTTACATTCAATAAACTTCTCCACTTTGAGTTTTTTCATGACCTTTCCAAGGAAAAGGGACAGCTGAAGGCTTTTCAACCTTCTCCATATGTATTCACTATTTCTCCAGGTGCATTCTCACATGTCCAAGAAAAGCTCTCCCACATTCCTTATGTTCATACACTTACTATGGGGTGTGAGTTCTTTCATGATTTTGTAAAAAACTAGAATGGCCAAAGGTTCTCCTTCCATATTTTCATGTCAGGGCTTCTCTTCAGTGATTTCATTAATCCTTTACAATCAACTGGAAGAAATAAATGCTCTGCAACCCTCTTACATTTCTAGGGTCCATCCCCAGTATGGATTATCATACATGAATGGTACAACTGAGAGGTAAATGAAGGCTCTTCCCTATTCCTTACGTTAACAGTTTATCAATACATTTTGTTTTCACATATCTGTAAAAACTAGTTGGGAACCTGAAGGCTTTAGCACATTCCTTCCATTCATGTAGTTTCTCTTCACTATGAGAATTTTTGTGCATTTCAAAGGATTGGGGATGACTATAGGTTATCCCACATCACTTGCATTCATAGTGTTTCTCCCCAGTATACATTTCATGGTATCTAAGATAAAAGGGATGGCAAAGAGGTTTAATTCATTCCTTATTCATGAGCCTTATTTCCATCATGATTTCTTTTATGTCTTCTAAGATGTGTGATAAAACTGAAGGTTTTTCCACATTGCTTACATTCATAAGGTTTTCCCCTAGTATGTGTTCTTTCATGATTTCTAAGAGACTTGGAGAATCTGAAAGCTTTACCACATTCATAGAGCTTTTCTCCATTGTCTGTGCTTTCATGTTGGGCATTTGCAGGAGGCAACCAATTGATGTTTCTCTCACATCAGTATTGCTCTCTGCCTTTCTGACTTCCACTCTCTCAATGGAAAAATACCTGCAGGTGAGGATAAAGGGGGAAAAAAGAACTGGGATTGTCAAAGGCTTTTCTACAATCTTGACAGGACATGGCTTATTTTCAGTGTTAGTTCTTTATTCATGATGATTTCTCTCCATTATGAGTGTTTAGGTGAATTTCAAGGAAACTGGGATGAATAAAGGCTTTCTCACATTGCTTACCTTCATACAGTTTTTCCTTATTATGAGTTCTTTCATGACATCGAAGGTTACTTGGATAAGAAAAAGCTCTACCGCAATGGTTACATTCATAGGGTTTTTCCCCAGTATGCATTCTTTCATGAATTCTAAGGAAGGAGGGATAAAGGAATGTTTTACCACATTCCTTACATTCATGAGGCTTCTTTCCATCATGATTCCTTTTGTGTGTTCCAAGAGAACTGGGATTACTAAAAAATTTCCCACACTGCTTACATTCATAGGATTTCTCGCCAGTATGCATTCTTTCATGATTTCTAAAATATGTAGGACATCTGAAAGCTTTCCCACATTGCTTACATTCATAGGGTTTCTCCACAGTATGAATTTTTTCATGATTTCTAAGGTATTTGGAATGTCTGAAAGCTTTCCCACATTGCTTACATTCATATGGTTTCTCCAGAGTATGAATTTTTTCATGATTTCTAAGGTATTTGGAATGTCTGAAAGCTTTGCCACATTGCTTACATTCAAAGAGTTTCTGCACAGTATGCATTTTTTCATGATTTATAAGAGATTTGGAAAAACTAAAAGTTTTACCACAATGCTGACATTCATAGGATTTTTCCCTGGTATGAATTCTTTCATGACGTTGGAGGGAAGTAAAATTAGAGAAAGTTTTGCTACATTGCTTACACTTATAGGGTTTTTCCCCAGTATGAATTCTTTCATGACGTCGGAGGCCACCCAAAGCAAAGAAAGCTTTCCCACATTGCTTACATTCATAGGGTTTTCCCTTATGACGACTCCTTTCATGATATTGGAGGGAAGATGGGTAAGAGAAAGCTTTATCACAATACTTACATTCATATCGTTTTACTCCAGTATGAATACTTTCATGAAATCGAAGATAATATGGATCATAAAATGTTTTACCACATTCCTTACATTCATGAGGCTTCTTTCCGACATGACTTCTTTTATGTTTTTCAAGAGAGCTGGGAGAAATGAAGGCTTTCCCACATTCCTTACATTGATAGGGTTTTTCCCCAGTGTGCAGTCTTTCATGATAATGAAGGGAAGTTGAATAATAAAAACCTTTACCACAAACCTTACATTTATAGGGCTTTTCCCCAGTATGAGTTCTTTCATGATGTTGGAGAGAAGACTGATAATAGAAACCTTTACCACAATGTTTACATTCATAGCGATATACCCGAGTATGAGTTCTTTCATGACGTTGGAGGGCAGACAGAAAATAGAAAGCTTTGCCACAATGCTTACATCTATAGGGTTTTTCCCCAGTATGAGTTCTTTCATGATTTCTAAGGGAACAGGGATGGTGGAATGTTTTACCACATTCCTTACATTCATGAGGCTTCTTTCTGTCATGACATCGTTTATGTTTTTGAAGAGAGTTGCTACAATGGAAGGCTTTCCCACATTGCTTACATTTATACGGTTTCTCCCCAGTATGCATTCTTTCATGATTTCGAAGAGCAGTGGAATATCCTAAAGCTTTCCCACATGGCTTACATTCATAGGGCTTTTCTCCATATTGTGTCCGTTGATGCTCTCGATAATACTTTGGACAACTGAAGGCTTTCCCACATTGCTTACAACCATAAGGTTTCCCCCCAGTATGAGTTCTTTTATGATTTTGGAGGGAAGTTGGATAAGAGAAGACTTTACCACAAAGCTTACATTCATATGGTTTTCCCTCAGTATGCACTCTTTGATGAATTATAAGGGAATAGCGACGACAAAATGTTTTACCACATTCCTTACATTCATGAGGTTTCTTTCCGGCACAACTACTTTTAAGTTTTCCAAGAGAGCTGAGCGAACTGAAGACGTTCCCACATTCATAAGGTTTCTCAGCAGTGTGTGTTCTTTCTTGATTACTAAGAGAAGTGGAACTGAAAGTTTTTCCAGATTCCTTACATTGATAGGGCTTTTCTGCAGTGTGCGTTCTTTCATTTTCTCCAGAATACTTGGGAGAACTGGAAGCTTTGCCACATTGCTTACTTTGATATGGCTTCTCTCCACTATGAGTATTTTTGTGAAGTTTAAAGTAAATGAAATGATTAAAGCTTTTTCCACATTGCTCACACTCATACGATTTCCCAGCAATATTCATTCTTTCATGATTTCTAAGGAAAGTTGAATAGTAAAAAGTTTTCCCAGTGGGGCTATCTTCATGGCTCTGAATATGTTGGTAAGGCTTGAAAGCTTTCTCAGATTCCTTACATTTATAAGAGTTTTCTTCATATTCCTGACACAGATATAGTTTGGGTCCAATGTGAGAACTCAGGTGGTTACTCAACAATAAATAACGTATGAAGATTTGCCTGCACAACCTGGATTTAGGTTGTGTTATTTCAGGAATTTCCTTAGTTTCATTATTATATGGAATCTGGCTGAAGTTTTCTCTGTGTTGACTACCATCCTTCCTTGTACAGAGTCTCTCTACCATATGACTGTTGTAAAAATGAGAAGAATATTAATACTTTGTTAATGATTTAATATTTATTAATAACATGACAATGATATTTTTACCATTTCCAAAGAAAGCGTGGGGTTTCTGAACATTCTATTTTTTGAAGGTGTATATCTTAAAACTTCTGATATAAGGTGGATAATTGATATTATAAAAACACTTATATTCATTGACAGTACTTTTTGCGTATTGTTTCCAAGTAATTATTTTTTTTAAATATATTTTATTAATTTTTTTAGAGAGAAGAAGGAAGAGGGATAGTCAGAAACATCGATGAGAGAGAAATATCAATCAGTTGCCTCCTGCACACCCCCACTGGGGATGTGCCCACAACCAAGGTACATGCCCTTGACTGGAATCGAACCCAGATCCCTCAGATCACAAGCTGATGCTCCATCTACTGAGCCAAACCAGTCAGGGCACCAAGTGTACACTAAACATCTAGATCAGCGTTTTTCAACCGCTGTTCCGCGGCACACTAGTGTGCCGCGAGATGTTGCCTGGTGTGCCGTAGGTGCAGACAAGACAAGAATTTTATAATTTTTCACTATTTTGTTTACTTAATATTTCATAATAAAGTAATTATAAAATACTTTCTTTGTGTTTATTTGATTCCTATTCAAGAGAATTACTTTATATATAGTCAATATAGGCACAGAGTTAAATTTTTTAACATTTTCTAATGGTGGTGTGCCTCGTGATTTTTTTCATGAAACAAGTGTGCCTTTGCCTAAAAAAGGTTGAAAAACACTGATCTAGATCATATTTCAGAAAAAAAAAACATTTTGATGATATTCTTCTAAAAATCAATACATTTAAAACTTAGCTGATACAATTGGATTATCTGTTTTTAAGATTCTTTTGTGGACCAGGCCTATATGACTCAGTGGTTTAGGATAGACCTATGCACCAAGGGCTTCCTGGTTCAATTCCCTGAAAGGGAATATGGCCAAACTGCAGACTTATTAAACCCAGTACCAGGCATGCAGTAGGCATTCTATTGATTTTTTTATCTCTCACTCTCAAAAACACATATTAAAATCAATAAATACATATTTTTGCACCACCAGCAAGGCTCAGTAGTTGAGCACTGACCTCTGAACCAGGCGGCCATAGTTCAATTTATGGTCAGGGCACATTCCCAGGTTTTGGATATAATTCTGAATGTGGGGCATGCAGGAGGCAGCCATCATTAATTCTCTCTCATTGTTGATGTTTCTTTCTTTCTCCCTCTTCCCACCTCTATGAAATACATTAAAGATATATTAAATTATAAACAAAATATATAAAAACCTACTTTAAAAAAAAACAAACACAAAGATACTCTTAATGCTTTGTCATGTCAATGTGACTCACCTAAGATTCCTCCTGTAATATTCATACTGATCTTCACTGTCATGGTAATCACATTGTTCTTCTAAAATACATGCTAGAAAAAGCATTATAAACTGTTAGAGAATATAAAAATGGTAAGATTTTAGGGACACAATGAGCTGTGATCATTCCTAGTTTAATTACCAATGTATTCTTTTTGCATATTTCAATTCTTGAAACAGCATTAATGAGCAAGCTACACTAGTTTTCTAATTGTCTACATAAGTAACAAGTTGTTGCAGACCAGAGTTACTCTGTGTTTGACCATCAACCTATGAACTGTATGAACCAGGAGGTCACAGGTCAATTTCCAGTAGGAGCAGTTTGCAGGCTTGATTCCCAGTGTGAGTCGTGCAGGAGATACTCAATCAGTGATTCTCTCTCATCATTGATTTTTTTCTCGTTCTCTCCCTCTCCTTCCTCTCTAAAATCAACAAAAATATATTTAAAAAAAAATAACTTGTGATACCTACCTACTGATGCCAGGTTCCAGAAGGTTTCCAGCATCACATCTGTGTAAAGTTTCTTCTGGATTGGATGCAGGAAAGCCCACTCCTCCATGGTGAACTCCACATTAACATCCTCAAAGGCCACTGAGTCCTAAAACATCAAACATAAGCATATAGGAGAATGGTTATAACAGTACGGGGGTCTACACTAATAAAAGAGAAAAATGGTAATTGACTGTACCTTCGCTATGCCCACAGCCAATCGGAGCGAGTATGCAAATTAACCCAACAAAAATGGCAGTTAATTTGCATACGCAGGCACTGATTGGCCTGGGTCCTGGGAACATCCTACAGACTCAGGGTTCTCCTAGCCTGTAGGCCCATAGGCCCTGAACGGCCGGGGTCCCAGAACACTCTCTGGCCACTCAGAGCCTATGGGTGCAGGTGCCAAGTGACTGGGGGTGGGACGGGAACATCCCTGCATCACCATAGTGACTTGGGGATGTTCTTGCCCTCCTGCAGCCACTTGGGAACGCTCCAGCACCAAGTGGTGGTTTGGGCCCATGCCCCAGCCTGGGGTCTCAGATTGGCAGTGGCGTGCGCACCCACAGCCTGGGATCTCACCCACGCAGTAGAGGGAGACAGAGCCAGAACATCAATGAGAGAAACATCAATCAACTGCCTCCTGCACACCCCCATCCACTGGGGATGTGCCTGCAACCAAGGTACAAGACTTTGACCAGAATAGAACCCAGGACCAATGGTTTGTCCAGTGAACCAAACTGATTAAGGCAAACTTTTTTATTTTTAAATATAAGAAAGCATATTTAAAGCAATTTGATAAATTATATATTTCCCTACCTGTCCATCCAGTAATTGGCAATTTTTAATATCGATAAGTAACAATTAAGCTCTTTGCATGAATTCAACAAGACCTGTTTCAATTTTAGCTATATTAACCAAGAAAAACTGATAATGGGCCTGTTTATAGCAGCCGTGGCTTCACTCCCTTTTGCAGACCTTTGTCCACCCAACATTCCACGGGAATCCCTTACAATCCACAAGGGCAGGTCACCATTGAATGTGGCCATGGTGCCCGGAAGGGTATAAGAGTTAAAAAATAGGGAATATGATACTGAAGAACCCTGCTATACTACTATCTAAAGCATTTTTTAGCCTTAATATTTTTACTCTGAATGATCATTTTCAATCTTCTATAGAACAGTGCTTGACCTCAATAACCCCATCTCACAAACCAAAGGTCTGGTGGGAGATGTAGACAGTAGAGAGGATATGTGTGTGTTTATAGCCCCACAGGACCACTGTGGATTCCAGCTCGCCAGATTAAACCCTGCCATGGCATGGCACGGGACCAGTTCTCTTCCAGAAATTAGGAGTTTGGGCCTACGGACTCCACAGCCCTGAACAATGCCTTCCCCAGACCCAAATGGCCCTCAGAATAACCTGGGGAATGATGGTGAAGCTGATGGCAAAGGCTAAGCAATTATTGGAGCGTACTCACACTCTCCAGGCGTCTTCAAACTACGGCCCGCGGGCCACATGCGGCCCGCAGAGGAGTTAGATTCGGCCCGCCAGGTTTTTTGGGCAGTGAGCGCAGCCGAGGTGTTACAGTAGGAATTAGTAGTTCATATAGTCTGGCCCTCCAGCTCTCTGAGGGACCGTGATCTGGCCCCCACTTTAAAAAGTTTGAGGACCCCTGCTCTGCACATTCCAGATAACTAACCATTCTTCCCTTTGTTATTCTCAGAGCCTGTAAAATTGAGATGGAACAGTAAATGCAATTCACAGACTCTGATATTCCAAAGCAGAACGTTTGCTGCCTCTCTCTGACTTCTACCAGTACATTCAGCAAAACAAAAAAGGGAGAAGATGTTGGGGAGCACCCGAGACTCGGCTGGAAAGTCTGTAAAGAGAACATTCTGGAAAAAAAAAGGGAAGTGTGTGGAAGGCTGCCTGCCCTGTTTACTGAAATTTCAACCTAGGAGTGCACTGAAGGTGGTGGCCCTAATTATTCCTTGACCTTTCCAAACAATTCTGTGCCTGGGCAGACACTGGGTGTTTACTGGAATCCTTGTACTTAATCTTTGGGTGTGCTTCTTAAAGGATATTACAAATACAAGTTTCCTCCCAAAATTACTTACCTGAAAGAGAAACTTTATCTTAAACTGCTGCTACAATAAAAGCCTAACAAGGCAGGCAATCAGGATGCCTGGGTTCCTTTAGCCAGGCAGTACCTTAAGCCTCTCTTTCACAGCAAACTTTTTGTCAGGATAATCCAACCATCTGTCACACCAGCCTGGCAATGACCTAGCTAATTCACTTCTGGGAAAAAAAAAAAAAAAAAAAAAAAAAAAAAAAAAAAATATATATATATATATATATATATATATATATATATATATATATATATATATATATATTATATTTAAACACTAAAGCAAAAGAAAATAATGCTACAATGAACCTCTGTGTTCATTGTAGCATTATTTACAATAGCCCAGATTTGAAAGAAACACAAGTGTGCTTCAGTAGGTGAGTGAATAAAAAGCTGTGGTCAAACTCAATTAAGCTCAGGCATAAAAATGAAGGAAATCTAATCCTCCATGACAGCAGGAACAGACCTAGAGAGTATTATGGTAAGTGAAGAAAACTAGTAAGAAAAGCACATATCACATGATTTCATTTATATTTGGAATGTAACAAAGAGAAACTAACAAAGTCTATAGAGACTCATAGATACACAGAACAGACTGACAACTGTCCGAGGGGCAGAGGGTGGCAATACAAACAAACTCTTAGACAACAGCATGGGGTACCACAGGGAAAGGGGAGTGTCAGGAGGTAAAAGGGAGTAAAGGGGAGGATTAAAAGGTGATGGAAGGAGACTTCGGGTGGGGGACACACAATACAAGGTACACATGATGTGCTACACAATTGTACACTTGAATCTTATGTAAGTTTCCTAGCCAATGTCATTCCAATAAGTTAAAAATATTTTTTCAAAAAATGGCGACAGGCAGGAAGGCAGGGAGGGAGAGTGTGTGAGTGAGTGAAAGAGCGATACAGCAGTGTGTGGACCTGAGTAGGTGTGTGTGTGAGTGAAATAGGGACAGTTAGACATTGCAGGTCCTCCAAAGGGCTGCCAATTCGGGCAGTCTTCGGTGGCAAAACCCCGTGGCTACCACAAACACTCTAGGGAGGACACCAGCAGCACAGAGACCACGCCATATTGAAGAACAGAGGAAGACATAACAGATGGAAGAACATACCGTGTTCATGGATTGGTAGAATCAACGTCATCAAAATATCCATACTACCCAAAGCAATCTGTAGGTTCAATGCAATCCCCGTTAAAATACGGACTGTTGCCGAAACTGGTTTGGCTCAGTGGAAAAAGCGTCGACCTGTAGACTGAAAGGTCCCAGGTTCGATTCGGGTCAAGGGCATATACATTGGTTGCAGGCACATCTCCGGTGGGGGGTGTGCAGGAGGCAGCTGGTCGATGTATCTCTCTCATCGATGTTTCTAGCTCTCTATCTCTCTCCCTTCCTCTCTGTGAAAAATCAATAAAATATATATATTTTTTAAAAAATATGGACTGTTGACTGTGCCGCTGGATTGCCCTAGTGGGAAGGAGACATAAACTCCAGACTGCTCTTAACCCCACTTCCAACTGCACTGAACCCCAGCTCCTGGCTCATTGGGGGAGAGCCTAGACTGTTTGGTAGCGGGCGAAACTCGAGGGCACCTTTCTCTCAGAGGTCCTTGCAGCGAGTACCAAAGGATACTGAGGAATACTGAGACTCAGGAGCCTCATAGGGAGGGGATGACGGAAGCCAAGGCTGTAGGCTCCACCCTGAAATTCTGCCCCATCCAAGCTGAACACAGAGACTTTTAAGGCTACCAACTCAGGGAAGCTGCAAAAATACCGAGACAAGGAAACAGACCACAAACAAAAGAAATGGAGGACAAAAAGCAGCTGGATATAGAGTTCAAAACCACGCTTATAAGGTTTTTCAAGAATTTCCTAGAAAAGGCTGATAAAATAAACAAGACCTATGAGGATATGAAAAGGGATCAACTAGAAATAAAGAATACATTGTCAGAAATAAAAAATATTATACAGAGCCCTAAAAACAGAATGGAAGATTGCAAGAATCAAGTCAAACATTTGGAACATAAAGAGCCAGAAAACACTCCTCCGCAGAAGCAAGAAGACAAGAGAATCCAGAAAGTTGAAGATAATGTAAGAAACCTCTGGGACAACTTCAAGCAAACCAACATCAGAATTATGGGGGTCCCAGAAGAAGAGAGAGAGCAAGATATCAAAAACATACTGAAAGAAATAGTGACAGAAAACTTCCCCCACCTGGTGAAAGAATTAGACTTACAAGTCCAGGAAGCACACAGAACTCCAAACAAAAGGAATCCAAAGAGGACCACATCAAGACACATCATAATTAAAATTCCAAGAGCAAAAGACAAAGAGAGAATATTAAAAGCAGCAAGAGCAAAGCAGGTAGTTACCTATAAAGGGACACCCATACAATTGTCAGCTGATTTCTCAACAGAAACCATGCAGGCCAGATGGGAATGGCAAGAAATATTCAAGGTGATGAATAGCAAGAACCAACAGCCAAAAATAATCTACCCAGCAAAGCTATCACTCAGAATTGAAGGCCAGATAAAGAGCTTCACCAATAAAAAAAAAAGCTAAAGGAGTTCATCACCACCAAACCAGAATTATATGAATTGCTGAAGGGAGTTCTTTAGGAAGAGGAAGAAAATAAAGATAAAAAGTATGAACAACAAATATGTAACTATCAACAAGTGAATCTAAAAACCAAGGGAATTAAAAAATGATGAACAATATTAACTGTTGAATATAATAGAATCAGAGGTATGGAAGGGGAGTGAACTGATGATTTTCAGGGAAAAGAGGAGAGGGGAGTGCGGGAAGAGACTGAACATAAACTGTGCACCCATGGATGAGGACAATGGAGGGTGGGGAAAGGGCAGAGGGTGGGGTGGGAATCTGGTGGAGGGGGAAAAAATGAGGAAGTTTTGTAATAATATGAACAATAAAGATTTATTTAAAAAAAAAGGGGGGGGGGAATGGCAGGGTCAGAGCAGGAGTAGTTCTCCCAGTTGAGTTGGACTACTGCCTGGCTCCCCATATCGCCAAATTGAATTTCTTCAAGTCTCAAGTCTTTTCATTTGTGTGCGTCCCTTCTCCAGAACCCGAACCCTGAATTGGAACTCTTTTCACGCTGGTCGTGAAAGAGATTCCTACAGTTAGGGGTGATCAGACAGGCAGGCAAAGTGGTTAGGGGTGATCAGGCAGGCAGAGGGGTTAGAGATGATCAGGCAGGCAAGCAGAGTGGTTAGGGGTGATCAGGCAGGCAGGTGAATGATTAGGTGTGATGAGGCAGGTAAGCAGAGTAGTTAGGGACAATCAGGCAGGCAGGCAGGCAGGCAGGCGAGCGGTTAGGAGCCAGTGATCCCAGATTGCAAGAGGGTGCAGGCCGGGCTGAGGGACCACCCCCACCCCTGCACAAATTTCGTACAGCGGGCAGAAACCAGTTTGGCTCAGAGGTAGAGCATCGGTCTGCGGACTGAAAGGTCCCAGGTTCGATTCCGGTCAAGGGCATGTACATTGGTTGCAGGCACATCCCGGTAGGGGGTGTGCAAGAGGCAGCTGGTTGATGTTTCTCTCTCATCGACGTTTCTAGCTCTCTACTTCTCTCCCTTTCTCTCTGTAAAAAATCAATAAAATATATATTTTTTATAAATTTCATACAGCGGGCCTCTAGTGGGAAAATAATAAATATTCAAATTTTGAGTCTGTTCTATTAAAAAAGGGCGCACAATGAATCAGTTGTATAAAGTCACATCACCAAAAGCAAAACTTAACACACTGCAGGTGGATCATGGGAACCCTCCCCACCCCCCAACCCGGGGAAAAAAGTCATGCACCGGTCCTCTAGTAGTAATAATATTCTATTAACTATGTGTGGTAACTGATGGGTATTAGACTTTGTAAGTTATGTACATGACTAGTCTTTATGGTGACACCAGAAACTAATATATTTTGTCAACTTATTGGAAAAAACACAACTTTAAATACTAGCCAGTTTTGCTCAGTGAATAGAGTGTTGACCTCTGGACCAAAGGGTCTCAAGTTTGATTCCGGTCAAGGACATGTACCTTGGATGCAACTAACCTCGCTGGTCTGAGCCATGCTGAGGGTATGTGCAGGCGCCACCAGTGATGTGTTTCTCTCACATCGATATTTCTCTCTGTCTTTCCCTTTCTCTTCCACTGTCTCCAAAAACCAATGAAAGATAAAAAAACTTTTTTAAAGAAAAAGGTGCATGCATACACAAAGGACTATTACTGTATTATTCAGCTATCAGAAATTCTGCCACACGTTCATGAACCTTGAGGGCAGGATGCTTTATGAAATAAGTCAGAAAAAGAAAAATACCATGTGTTCTCACTTATCTGTGGAATTTAAAAAACAAACAAACAAACAAACAACTCCATAGATAGAGCACAGATTGATGGTTGCTAGAGGTTGCAGGAGTGGTGTACGGGGTGAGGTGGGGGTCAAATGGATGAAGGGTATCAAAAGGCACAAACGTCCAGTTATAAAGTAAGTCATGGAAACGCAGCTTACAGCATGGAGACGGCAGTTAGTAATACCATATTTCAGATGTGAAAGTTGCTAAGAATAAATCTTAAAAGTTCTCAAAACAAAAAAAAAGTATTCTGTAAGTCTGTATGATGACAGACGATAACAAGACTCATTGTGATTATCATTTCATAATACATATAAACATCAAATCATTATGCTGTATACCTTACTAATAAAATGTCGATTGTAATTTAATGAAGAATAAAATCCCTTCTATAAAACGAAAAGATTACAGTGGATTTGAAACACTGCAATCACCTAGTGACGTCATACCCATCACAATGTCACAGGGCGATGCATTGCTCAGATGTTTATGATGATGCTGGTGTAAGCAAGCTGCCTGTGCGGCCAGTCCTGTGAAAGCCCAGCACATACAGTTACGGTCACTGCATAGAAACCTGATGATGGTGAGCTGGTTCGTGGATTTGCTATACTGTCCTCTGTACCCAGGTGAGCTTTCTACTGAGTGAAAGAAAACTCTGCTGTGAAGCAGTGTGCTGGTTTATGCGGGCACAGCCTCAGAGGCCTTGTGCTGACTGAGCCTTTTGATTGCATCATTGCCCCCTGGGCTTGATGGATCTGTGTTTTGTACATTTCCTGGCCTCAGTGCGCAGTGTGATACAGTCTACAGTCGTGCACAGGAGCGTCCTAGGCCTTCACATTCACTCACCGACCACTGACTCCTGCAGAGCAGCCTCCAGTCCTGTAGTCCATTCAGGGTCAGACACACGGATGCACCATTTTCTATCTTGCCACCACATTTTTACCGCACCTTCTCATAAATGCTCACTACCACTGCGTTACAATTGCCTACAGCAGTGTTTCCCAAAGTGTGGTGCGCGTACCCCCGGGGGTACGGGAAGAGTTTGGTGGGGGTACGCGTTGCACAGGAGTTTGGTGGGGATATGCACTGCACCGTGCTTAGCTGCGCCTAATTCTACGTTCTCGTGAGTACGAGGGGTACTCAGCGTTACGAAAATTGTAGAAGGGGTACACATATGTCAAAAGTTAGGGAAACACTGGCCTACAGTACTCAGTACAGCACCACGTTGCACAGGTTTGCTGCCTGGGACCCACAGGCTACCCCATGTGGCCTAGGTGTGTAGCAGGCTACACCATGCAGGTGTGTGTAAGAACTGAAAACGACAACACTGCCACAGGATGGACTCCCCAGGCTCAGGGGTGCATGCCTGTGTGTAACTGCAGTTTCACCTCTCCCAGGAGTAACATTCTAACCCAGTCACCCAGCAACCTGCTGTTCAACACTGATCCCTCTAAAAGCCTCCTGTGTTCCTTCCCCTAGCAGCGGAGGCAAACTCATTAGTCAACAGAGCCAAATATCAACAGTACAAGGTTTGAAATTTCTTTTGAGAGCCAAATTTTTTCAACTTAAACTTCTTCTAACGCCACTTCTTCAAAATAGACTCGCCCAGGCCGTGGTATTTGTGGAAGAGCCACACTCAAGGGGCCAAAGGACTGCATGTGGCTCGCGAGCCGCAGTTTGCCGACCACAGCCCTAAGGAACGGGACCCCGCCTGAGACACTAACCTCTTAAAGACGCCTCCTTCCTGCCTATTGTACACGACACTTGAACAGCCCTCAGGTGCTATTTATCACAGTGTTTCCCAACCTTCTCCCATGATGAGAATCACCTGGTGGAGTTGTTAAAACACAGATTCCCGGATCCCAACTAAGAAGTGCTAAACTAGAATTTTTGGGAACATATAGGTAAAATTGTATACTTAACTAGTGCTCTAAGACAGATTTTATATACAGAGCACTAAGTTAGGTATGCAATTTTACCTATATGTTCCCAAAAATTCTAGTTTAGCACTTCTTAGTTGGGATCCGGGAATCTGTGTTTTAACAACTCCACCAGGTGATTCTCATCATGGGAGAAGGTTGGGAAACACTGATTTATCAGATGGGATGCGGCCGGATTTGTGGATGGGAATCAAGCCCGTTAGACCTTCCACTTACTCAGCTGAATCTTGTTTTTAACCGTTTGAAAAGCACCACAACACAAACCGCTGATAACGATGCTGTGACTCAGAGGAGGGAACATGGGGCTCAGGGTCCGGGGAGAGGCTGGGAATGCAGGCATTGGCTGCAGAGCAGGGCCTGGGGGACGGGGGGACTGGAGAGCCTGCCCCACACACATCACACCCAGGAGAACACGGTCCCTCTGGGGGGAAAGGAGGGACAGGCCACAGACCACAGCTCCCCCCGGGCACGGACCGCGGAGGCCGAGCCCCAGGTCCCCACGGACCCTCCGCGCGGCCCCGCACCCGCTGCGGAGCCCGGGCTGTGGGCGCGGAGCCGCCCGGACTCGCTCCGCAGCCCCAGGCCCCGCCGCGGGGACGCCCTGGACCCGGGTCCCGGCGGGGCCCCCTGCGAGCCCGAGGGGCCTGCAGCCTCCGCGGAGCCCGGGCGCCTGGGGTCCGCAGCCCGGACCTGCCCGCGGACAGACGGTCCCCGGCGGCTCCCCGCCCTCCTGCCGCCTCCGCGCCCGGCCGTCACTCACCATGTCCGTTCCCGGCCCGAGTCCCCTGCTGCCCCACCGCCTCACACACCGCAGCCCCACAGAGGAGGACGGAGAGAGGAAGATGCCATCTCAGTGCAGCTGAAGCGAAGGGAACAACAGGGTGGAAGCAGAGCCTGGCCCCACCCACCCGCTCCCACCGCTCCTCACAGGACGCACACTTTGCACATCGCCCCCTAGCGCCTGAGCTGCACAGGCCTGAGCCCAATGCAGAGAGGAAGCACTGAGAGTCCCCAGGGAACAGTGGTCCCTCCTTGCAAACACACACCCTGAAAAGGCACCTCATGAATCTGGCTCCATTTTGATCTTTGTTGACAGCTGGAGTCTGACGTGTGCATTTGCCAAAAAGGTGCACAGGCTCAGGGACCAGGGATGCCTTAGGGTGGGATCCTTCCAGAACTACAGCCAGATCCCCAGGAAGAGCATTGAAACCAGGCCATCATGTGCAGCGCGAAAAGTGACTTCTGTGTATTCAGAATGGTTACCTTTAGCAAATGTTTTTTTAAAAATATATATTTTATTGATTTTTCACAGAGAGGAAGAGAGAGGGATAGAGAGTTAGAAACATCGATGAGAGAGAATCATCGATCAGCCGCCTCTTGCACACCCCCCACTGGGGATGTGCCCACAACCAAGGTACATGCCCTTGACCGGAATCAAACTGGGGACCCCTCAGTCCGCAGGCCGACGCTCTATCCACTGAGCCAAACCGGTCGCGGCTAGCAAATGTTTTTCACGTGAAAAATGTGTTCCCACTGGTGATTCAGTCACGGTCCTCTGAGGTCATGAGCCACCCTTACTTGTGGTTATCTTGTGGGCAGCACAGACCCACGCAGAGCAGGGAGACGGGCCAGGTACAGAGGTCACCAGGGTGGAAGGCCAGGTGTCCAGCAATGGGCAGTCATTGTAGGGTGGGGCCTTGTCCGCAGGGTGACTTTTCACCAGGCACAGAAGACCCTCCTAGACCCGGTTATCCTCTTGTCTTTTTTCTCCATCCTTCATCACCCCCACTCAGGCTGGTCGAACCCTTGGCTGTGCTGGCGCGGCACACCCCATGACAGAGAACTCTCCATTGCTCCAAAGGAACACAATTGTGGGGGCTGTTTATACGGGATTTGTTAGAGCTTCCTCTAAATTAGGGGTGTCGAACTCAATCAGAGAAGGGGCCAAAATCTAAAATCCAGCCTAAATCGCGGGCCGAATGGTTTACTGAACAGTCATTAATTGTCATTGTGATGGAAACGCAGCGGAGTGCAGTGATGACAGCGCGGTGCGGGCCACATTGTAAGGCCTGGCGGGACGGATTTGGCCCTCGGGCCTTGTGTTTGACACATGTGCTCTAAATCTTTCCCTTTTTTCTTTTCTTAAGTATTTTTTATGGGCTTCAGAGAGAAAGGGAAAGCGAGAAATAGAAACATCAATGATGAGAATCATTAATTGGCTGCCTCCTGCACGCCCCCTACTGGGGATCAAGTCTGCAAACCAGGTGTGTGTCATGACTGGAAATAGAACAATGACCTCCTGCTTCTAGGTCGACACTCAACCACTGAGGGACACCAGCAAAATCAAACCTTCGTCTTTGCCAGAATGTCATGCAGTGGATCACCACGCTGTTTTCCAACCTTGCCGAAAAGCTCAGATGATTAGAGCATCATCCCAATGTGCCAAGATAGCAGGTTAAATCCCAGGTCACACACAAAAATCAGCCAATGAATGTAGAAATAAATAGAACAGATTGATGTTTCTCTGTCTTTTTCAATATATATATATAAAATGCCGTAACTGGTTTGGCTTAGTGGATAGAGTGTTGGCCTGAGGACTGAAAGGTCCCAGGTTTAATTCTGGTCAAGGTCATATACCTTGGTTGCATGCATATCCCCAGTAGGGGGTGTGCAGGAGGCAGATGATTGATGTTTCTCTCTCATCTATGTTTCTAACTTTCTATTCCTCTCCCTTTCTCTCTGTAAAAAAATCAAAAAAAAAAAAAAAAAATATATATATATATATATATATATATATATATATATATATATATATATATGTAATTTAAAAGTAAAAGAGAGTTCAAGCTGGTTTGGGTTAGTAGACAGGGCATCTGCCTGCTGATTAAAGGGTCCCTGGTAAGAGTCCAGTTAAGGGCACATATCCAGGTTGCAAGCTTGATCCCCATAGTGGGTGTGCAGGAGGCAGCTGATCAATGATTCTCTGTCATCATTGATGTTTCTCTCTGAAATCAATAAAAGTACACTTAAAAATAAACAGTAAAAGAAAGTCATACTCTATCACTAAGAACAGCTTCTTTGGAAGAGAGACTCTAGCTCTGTTTTCTGGCTTGGATTGTATGCTTTGACAATATTCCTAATTTATGAACTTCCGTTGACTCATAAAACAGAAAACTTTTCAAGGAGTAAATGCTTAGAAATTATATATATATACTAGTCACTCTGCGCAAAAATCTGTGCTCCAGTAGCTTTCTGTGGGGCCTGGCTGCTCTGCGCCCGCGGCCCGGAGGCTCTCCGTGATACAAGTGTTCCGGGCCCCAGCCTGGCCAAAGGCCCGTCCACAGCGGGCATGGGGCATGGAACGCTTGCCTCTTTGCCGCAGTGATGAAGCAAGCATTCTGCCAGGCCGCCCACACTGTCTGCTCTCAGCAGCCTCCACAACTCCAGTGGGGCTGAGAGGACTGGGCACCACCATCTTGTGGCTATAGGCGCCACCATCTTTGTGATGGAGTGAAGGTTAATTTGCATATCACCCTACTCAATAAAAGGAAATATTTCAGTATTTAGATAACAAGAAAGGCAAAAGCTTTCCCAGAAGAGTTGCAGGCCTTACACTTCCTGCCAGCCCTAGACATACCTGGTAGCAAAGAAAAGATCATACCACTCATGTCCATCAATCACACAGAGCTACTCCATGACCACAATGAATTAAGGCAAAAAAAAAAAAAATCAATCAAAATACATTTTTTAAAATGCATATAATTTTAATCACATACAAAGATAACTGAAAACATTGAGAAATTAGGTTCAGCTCTGAGTGACAGCACACATCCAGAGTCTGCCTGAAATGAGGAAAGTGCCGATTCTCACATGGAAGGACTGGCTCAGAGCCCTCACTGCAGAGGGCGGCACAAGAACAAACTGTCACGGGGCTCCTTGGCACTGCACCATTGTAGCTGTCACAGTGGGATCTGAATCACAGTCAGCAGTAGAACCAACAGGGCAAGATAATTACCAGTCAAATTAGATCTCATGCAAATGCAATCTAGAGAAGAGACAGTACCCTTCAGAAAACAGCCTCAACCATAACAGTCTGTTTGTTGCCTGGTGGACACCTATGGGCTTGCAGAAAAAGCCAACCTACACTGGGTCATTACTGTTGAATTCTGAACATCTGTAAAGCTTACACTCGACATTAAGAAAAGTGAAACAGTGGCTGGCAGGGCAAAGACTGAGAAAACAAACTCGAAGCCAATGTACACAAAGCTTTATGCTTCTGGCCATCTCCTTTATATAAGAGGGTTCAAAGCCAATCTAATCCTATTTCACCTCAGCATTCACGTTTCATGGAAGTGATGCCATGTTGATTTCTAACACGGAGCCATAAAGGCACCAGATTGTGCAAAATGTAGTTCACAACCTTCCTCACGTTGACCTGACAGAGCCAGGGTCATCTCTGACTCTGGATCTTATTGTCCAATCACAGGTCTTCTCTTCTTAATGCAAAATTCATAGTCTAAACTCAGCCAAACGCAATGACAAGAAGCAAAGGATACAGATGAAAATAACTCACATGGGACTCTACAGTGCACTTTGCATACTTACACATATGGCAAATATTTATTGAGTGAAATAATAGTGAATAGTGTAGTTGAAATACTACAAAAACGTTTATTGACAAAAAAAAATGGGGTAAGCCTCTTCTGGTCACTAAAAAGGCACTTTTCTGTTAAGATAGAATATATATATGGGTGAAGCACATTGATTCAATGCATGTCATGGGGGGCCAATAGTACAAAATGAATACATACCAAATGACGTTTTTCTTATTTTTCCATTGATTTCTTAGAGAAAGGAAGAGAGAGGAAAAGAAAGAGAACATCGATGTGAGAGAAAGATATCAATTGGTTGCCTCCTTCAGGAGTCCTGCCGATGGCTCACCAAGGAAGAGCCTGCAACCAAGGTACCTGCCCTTGACTGAAATCAAATCCAGGACCTTTGGTCTGTAGGCCGACACTCTAATCCTTGAGCCAAACCGGCTAAGGCTGTCTTATAGCTTTTAAATATATTTTTGTAGATTTCAAATAAGAAGGGAAAGGGAGAGAGATATAGAAACCTGGGACCCTTCAGTCCCCAGGCTGATGCTCTCTCCACACAACGAAACTGGCTAAGGCTTAGTATGTCTTTTTATTACAGGAATTTTTCAGCTCACAACCTAGGAAGGTAGAGGGACAATTGTATTTCCTTACACAACACTAGAGGTGAGTGCATGAGATTTGTACGCTTGAGAGTCCCTCAGCCTGTGCGCCCTCTCGCAGTCGGGGAGCCCTTCGGGGTGCCCAACTGATGACTTAGGCCCGCTCCCCAGCAGTTGGACTTCTTTATTGCTGCTGCGGAGGCAGGAGAGGCTCCCGCCTCCATCACTGTGCTGACCAGTTATTAGCCTGGCTTCTGGCTGAGTGGCGCTTCCCCTGTGGGAATGCACTGATGATCATGGGGAAGCTTCTGCATTGAGCATCTGCCCCTGGTGTTCAGTGCATGTCATAGCAACCGGTTGTTCCACTGTTTGGTCTGTTTGCATATTAGTCTTTTATTATATAGGATACTGTAGAGGAGTAAGGTTGAAAAAGCAAACTAAATTTGGTAAATGTGAATTTGTAGCCATTATAAATACTATCTCAATACCAAGGCTTTCTTTAACTTTTATATCCTCATAAAACATTATAGTGATATTATTATTCTTATATACCTGACTCTAAGAGTTTGGCATTGTATGGGAGGAACAAATTTCCCGTATACCATTCTAGGCTGGTCTAAGAATTAAATTGACATTAAACACAATTGCTACAGGCGATGGGAACAGCAACAGATGTCTGACCAGTAGGCTCAGACCAAACCTGAGTTCAGCAACCTCGGTACTTGGGTTCTGGCTAGGAAAGAATTAGGAGCCAAGATCCCAAACTGTAAAAGAACATTTATTTGATAAATCACAGAAATGGAAGAAGTAGTTCCTAGAACAGATTGGCTTAGGAAACAAATTATAGAGGTAAAGGAAGGTCCCTTGGATCTTGGGAGTGAGCAAGCTAATGGAAACATTCCTGCGATGGGGTGGGAGAGGGGGCAAGGAAGGGTGAAGAAAAAGGGATAAGGGCGCTCTCAGGCGGTTTCTCAGACCAAAGGGTTTTAAGGGTAGAGATTTTTTTTTTTTTAATATATTTTTTTACTGGTTTCAGAGAGGGAGAGGAAGAGGGAGAGATGGAAACGCCAATGATGAAAGAATCATTGACTAGCTGCCTCCAGCACACTGCTTACTGGGGGGTGAGCCCACAACCCAGGCATGTGCTCTTGACTAGAATCAAACCTGGGACCCTCCAGTTCACAGGCCGAAGCCCTCCATTGAGCCAAACTGGCTAGAGTGAGGATGGGAGATTTTAGGGGAGGTCCTGGGGCAAGAAATCAACAGAATATTCTGCAGTTTCCCAGGTGTGTCCTTTCAGGGTTGAGGTGGCCACTGAGTGATTGGCAGGCACCAGGGCAAGGAATCATTATTCCATGCAGCTGGTCCTGAGGATGATTTTATTGCTTACCTGGGTCTGGAACTGAAGTAATACTGAGGAATAGAGGTTGTATCCATGCAGGAAGGTCAGGGGACCCAAACTCTGTGGATATGCAGGGTGAGGGAGTCACCGGAGGGAAGGGTCCCACCCCAATTGATTGTTCCTTGCTAGGCACCTGGGGCTTTTCCACCCTGGTGGCCTTCTGTACTGGCCCTTCTTCCTTGGTCCACTAATGGCTGTCTAACTGCCTAACTTGGGTTAACAAGAAACAAAAACTTTTTAAATAGAATGTTTTTATATATGCAGGAATGTCACAAAGAATTGAAACTCAACTAGTGGTCAGAGAAATGAGACTTCTATGCCCTCTGGAGGTGAGGGAAGGCTAGAGGTCTGGATCTTCTGGGGCTGTGGGAGGCAATTCACTGGAACATGAGAGGAAGAAATGTTAAGCAAAGGTGGTCCAGTTAATAAGTCTCTTGGGTGAAAAAGGTATACTATATAATAAAAGCCAAATATGCAAATTGCCCCCTATGAAGGAGTTCAACTGAGAGTCTGAATGCTCGCTATGACATGCGCTGGCCACCAGGGGGCAGCATGAAACATAATGGCATAGGCGATGCAGCACTGACAGAGGGTGGTGGTGGAGGCACTGCTGGTCATGATGGGCCTGAAGAGAGTAAAACCATGGTGGAGCAGGTGAGCGGGCAGTGCCATGCCAAAGCGGGTGACAGGGGGCACCCAATCACCCTGTAGATGGAGCGGCGACAGCAGAGGATGAGGCTGGCACCCAGCTACCAAGCAATGATGGAGTTAGGTGGGGCCATGGGTGCAAGCTGGGGGTGAGAGCATGGGTGCCAATCACTGCAGCCACCCAGAGGGAGCCTCCCACTGGTGCACAAATTTGTGCACCAGGCCTCTAGTCTCTGACAACAGTTCTCTTCCAGGTACAAAGGTCCCTTTCCTAATATAAATTTCCTTTATAATTGCTGATTATCTCACAAGTGGGGAATGTTAAAATTTTGGGGGGTGCGGGAGCAGTGCAGGAAGAGTTAAGGGCTTTTCCTAAGTCTATTGCAGTTTGATTGCCTTCAACTCAAAATAAGCCACATCCCAAATGGTGAGAGGAGCTTTGGGGGGCAAAGTAGGCAGATTTAGGAAATTTTAAAAATTAAGCGGTCTGTAGGGAAAGCACCGGGCTGAAAAGAGCACATATTCAGAGAGTAAGGGAGCTGCCAGAAGGCACACATTTCCACAGAAGAGAGGAGCCGAGAGTTGCAGGTCTACATTTACAAAATAAAGGGAAGGGAGCCACTCCTTCAGAGAGGGAAGAGGAAAGCCCAAAGGGAATAGGAAGACAATAAGGGACAAGAGAATCTCAGGTACCTCACCTGTGGTTTGAGCTCTCGGGTTGCTATAGTGACAAATCAGAGGGGATATCAAAGCACAAAGAACTACAAACTTTATAAACCATATAAAAAAGGGACATAGTGCCAAAACTGGTTTGGCTCAGTGGATAGAGTGTCAGCCTGGGGACTTTCAAAAGGTCCCAGGTTCGATTCCAGTCAAGGGCATGTACCTTGGTTGCGGGCACATCCCCAGTGGGAGTGTGCAAGAGGCAGCTGATCAATGATTCTCTCTCACTGATACTTCAAACTCTATCCCTCTCTCTTCCTCTCTGTGAAAAATCAATAAAATATATTTAAATAAATAAATAAAAGGTCAGGGGACTCACAGAACTCATAAACCAAGATCAAAGTGAGGACTGAGATTTCCGGGGCATCCACTTCTCACTGCAGAGCCCCCAGCTTCCCAAAGAAACCCACCTCAGTCCACTCCTTCATTCTGGGCCCACTGGCGATTGAATCAGCTCTGGTAGGACTCCTGGCTCAGATCAACTATCCCATGTGTCTGCTGACCTGAGAAGGTGGGCAGAACGCCTGTCCCTCCTGCATCCAGCAGTCCTGGCCTGGTCTACAGGACAGGTTTCCTTGCCCCATGTGCCGTCACCCATGCGAAGAGATGAATGTTGAGGAGCAACACCCAACAGGAAGGATGATGGATTTCACTAAGCTCCTCCAGACCACCAGGGGCAAAAAGAGGCAGGGAGGGAGGTGCTTGTGAGGCAAGCACAAGGTCATGGCCCTCTTCTGAGAGGAGGACCTACCGCTGTTCTGTCCCCTGTGCACTCAGCCCCCTGACCACTAGGGCCACCAGGTGAGGCCCCTGGAGGAGGCTGCCTGTCAGCACAGGCAAAGGCTCAGCAGTCACACTGAGCCCCTGAAGAAGGGGACAGCCAAAACTGGTCTGGCTCAATGGATAGAGCATCAGCCTGAGGACTGAAAGGTCCCGGGTTCGATTCCGGTCAGGGGCATGTACCTTGGTTGCGGGCACATCCCCAGAGGGGGTGTGCAAGAGACAGCTGATCGATGATTCTCTCTCATCGACATTTCTAACTCTCTATTCCTCTCTCTTCCTCTCTGTAAAAAATCAATAAAATATATATATTTTTTAAATTAACTCAAATGTATTAAAGGCTTAAATGTAAGACTTGAAACCATAAAACTCCTAGAAGAAAAAAAAAAAAAACTTAGGGTTAAAAAAACCATTTACATAGTTATTAAAAAAAAAAAATGATGAGAGAATATCAAGGATTGGCTGCCTCCTTGTCACTCCCTACCGTGAATTGAGCCAGCAATCCGGGCATATCCCCTTGACTGGAATTGAACCAGGGATGCTTCAATCCACAGTCCAATGCTCTATCCACTGAGCCAAACTAGCCACGGCCAAACTGT